ACAATGTTAGTTTTTCCAAATATTAAGCAATAACGTCATAAACGCGTCAAATTGACTCAAAATATTAGTAGTTTCTTCAGTAGATACGCGAACCTTCATGTCTTGCGATGGCAATCATAATTTCAAATAATAGAGGAACGTTGAAATTGACAGAAACACAATCCAAAAATCTATCAACGGTCAGAGGAGATATCAGCTGCCCGTGTCATGAACACGGTAATGATTAGGTAGAAGAAAGTAGGGAAAAAGAGTTATAGGGTGTAAGCCTGATTGATTTGTGCCTGTTTGGTAAGTGTTGAGCATTTATCTACCAAGCATTTCTAGCCGATGTATGTATATATATATAGGCAAGCATGTGTTAATTTTGATACTAAGAACAAGTAAAGTCAGGCAAGGTCTGACATTAGATACCCTACATCAATTTGCTTAATAATACACGATATAATATTATACATTATTTCTAGATAAATTCATAATTTTCATCAAGGTCCTCATATTGACGTATACTGAAATGGTAACATGGTCTAAATTTGGAAAATATAATTTACTTTTCAAAGATTTTATTATTCTCCAATCCCTCCTACCATAACAAATCATAAAGTAAGTTTTGCTTACATGAAAGACGCTATATCTGGTGCGTTGTAAAAAATAGATCTATAAGACCTAAATTCGTTATGGTTGATTTCCTAAGGACAAATTTTTATAATAAAATATTTAAAAGAAGAAAAAGCTTCTTGGCATATATATAAAATCTTAGATTCATGGGTTGGGATCGGAAAAAAAAGAATAGACCTACATGGTCCGAATTGAATGACGTTAATTTTTATTATTATGAATGAATTTTCATCAATAAGTATTGAAAATTAGGCCTTCTTACTGTATGAAGATTCAGTGTTTCTATAGAAGCGATTATCTGGTAAGAGATTAGAAAAATTTCCCCATCCGATCCAAAGTTGTTACACCAATTTAGAATGCCAAAATCCTATCACTAACCGATTTTTGCCATCAAATTCTATATATTGAAATATGTATTGACTTATAACAACTTATCAAAATAAGGCGTTATGTGAAGAATGATCGAAATATATGCTTAGAAGTTGTGTTAAGATCTATATTTTATTAGTTATTTATTACTAGAACTCAACTCAGGGCAGCTTTTCTTTGTGGAGCACATTATTCAGATAGACCTACCTTTCGTTATATCAATCGATGCAGTTTGCTTCTTTGCCTGTCTGCCTGCCTGCGTACCTGCCCATTTGTTTTCATGTTCCGGTCCGTACAGATCAATTCTTCATTGATCTTACTGCCTGTCCGTCTGGTCTCTGTCTATATATTTTTGTGTTCAATCTACTTAGCAAAATTTTCGAAATATTGAAAATATATTTTCGCCCAAGAACGAACGCGACTGAGAAAATGATTCGGATCGAACGAATTTTTCGACCACTTCCCATATAACGGTTTTATTAGAAAGATCGTTTTATTGATAACTGCAATAAACGAAATAGTGTAGGGTATTTAACGGTGTTGTTGTTGTTGTTTTTTTTTTAATTTTTATTTTATTTATTTAAATTTCAATAACTGATATAATATTTTATTTTATTCATGATTTTATTGTTTACTCCGACTTGTAATTTAGAGTTGCGCAAAAACAAATGAAATAATAATAAAAAAAAATAAAACGGTAACAACCATTTTAATATTTTTCACAATAAAAATAATAAACAACAAAACGACGCCATTTTTTTTAATATGACGACGACAACAATCCTACACTACACTACTACTTGCCTCCATAAACACGAGAGACTAAGTTTTATAACAACAAAAACGTTGTCAAGCGCTAGTGATACCCATAAACAGCAATAAGAAAAATAATGTAAATATATAAACAAATTAAAAAAAAAAAAAAAGTAAAAAAATTTTTGTTTCTCTTTTTTATAAAACGTGATCAATGCTTGTTACTAAGCTTCGTCGAAGAAGAAAAAACGTTTTCATGCTGACTGATTGATTGACTAACTGACCTCTCGGAGTCATGACTATTGTTTAAAAAAAAAAAAAAAAAAGGGGAGACAAATAATGAATTTACTAAAAAATATCGATACATATGCAAACACAACGCATATAATTTAGGCGCGTGCGTGTATACATTTTAAATATATTTATTTAATTGTTATTTGTTTTAGCATTAAGAGTATTACACTCTTAAAATAATACCAATAATAATAATACTAACAATAATCGCTGGCTTGCAACCGGCGATATTAATTGCAACTTAAAATGCCGTTGTATTTATAATAGACAACGTGTAGACTGCCTATTTGTGTCTATCTCTATATATATGTATATATATGTATATATATATATATATATATATATTAGTTTTTCTCATTTTTAAGCTCTTTCACTTCACATTACCTATTTATGAAATTGCTCTAAAAAGAGCTTTTTAGCAGAGTTACCTCAAACATATGAATGTTCATATGTATGTGTGATGAAATTTAAAACGCAATGGGAAAAGGGGAGGTAAAAACAGAAAAACTGCGCAGTTACTCTTTCTCTCTGTGTACTCTCACTCTCACTCTCTATCTCTCTCTCTCTCTCTCTCTCTCTCTCTTTTTGTAATACTCATTACTATTATGATTAATACTCAGTCGTTTTTCTAAATGATACACAAAGGCAAAGCGTGCTTTTTAAAAAGGTTACGGTATATACATATGCTACAATGCAATTATATTATAATATATTGTTTACAGTGCTGCCAATTACGGTTTTTTATACATCTACTGTGCAATGTATATTAGATTCACAAAAATCTTTGCAATACCTAGCCATATATATATCAAGAGCATGATGTTGAAGTGTACACATTCTGGACCCGTACAAATATCGTAATCATTTTGCATCAGTCCCTTTATTCTGCATTGCTCAAAAATTACAATTAATTTTGAAAGATTTCGAAATTGTGTTTAAGAACAATAATTCTCTCTCTGTCTCTCGTCAAATTATGTTCGAAAAATGCTGAAATGATATTTGTGGTATCACCGCGCCCGCAATCATTAAACAAAATTGATCCGTTTTTCAATGATTTTATTCGAATATCATCTATACCGAAATAGAGTAAGTGATCTTTACATTGATTGATAAATCAATAAGTGAAAGTAGCTGACAAATTGTGTGCAAGCATGAACGCTATATATTATATATATATAGATATACGATAAGCACGATCATATTACCGATATATCAATCATCAAACACGTATTTTTACACGAAATTTTGCAATCAAATATCGAACATTAGTCTAGTGGAGGGTGTACTGAAAGACCCGGACCAAGACGAAAAAAAACTTATATTTTTCGTAAAACGGATTACAATGCAAAATTCGACATTTTCTACTAGCATTTAATGATCTAGTTTAAAAAGAAACACCTGCTATATTAATAGAAGGTTAAGTATATATATATATATATATATACATATATATATATTATATATAAATCCAATCCTATATAGATAGTGTTGGATATAAAAAAAAAAAAAAAAAAAATTTGCAAATAATATACATATACACATCTCAAGGTCATTTGAAGTGAGAATAAAGGTCAAATAATGGCTTGATTCGAATATTAGTCACCCGACACACTCGTCAAAATTATATTAACATTGAAAGTAGACTAGAAATCTAAAACTAATATACACAAAATTGCGAGCTTGCCACGATTGGCCTTATTAGCATCACTTCTTCAGTGACCTTAATAAGTATTCCTACTTTAAACATACACTTATATTGAACACTTGAGGCGCATTTCGATTTGCAATCTACAAGTTTTGTCACCCTACGCACACATATAATTTGAACATCGAATATCGAATGCAGATATGTTCGAGATTTTTCGAATGTTTATTTATTGGTAGATGGTAATTAAATAACATATTCCAATTTTTTCTCTCCCGTCCAGTTTTCTTACATCGCTACATATAATAATCATATATTACATATGCCGCATTGCTTTGATCTATGCTATTATGCATTGGATGTATTAAGTCATTAGGTTGAATAGTTGAACGCACAGTTTAGACTCCAACTATGAATCGTACATAAGAGTTTACCTAGTTTCTGTCAAGTATTACATGTTACAAGCGGCTGGACTCAATCATTTACTCAATCATTTTCTGGTAATTAATTTAAAAAAAAAAAAAAAAAAAAAAAAAAAAGGAAATCTCGAAATGTGTACAAAGCTTAATTTATCTATTTGCCGGTTTTATAATAAAAGAGTAATTTTTTTAAATAACTTCTGTATACGATTGTTAATAAGTGTGGCGATGGTGTAACATCAGCGAAAAAGAACGCGAAGAGAGGCCGATAAAGTTTCAAAAAGCTGAGTTGGAACCAAGATACATGCCAAACTCAGCAGAAGCTCGCCGAAATCTTGGGATTGGTTCGGCAAGTAATTTCAAATCGTGTGAAGGCATTGGATATGGTTCGTAAGCAAGAAAATTGGACTCCATATGAATTCAAGCCAATAAACATCGAACCAAGTTTTTTCACGTGTGAAAAAGGCAAAATCGAAAGAATTTTTGCATCAAACCGTGACGAAGGATGCAAAGTGGATCCACTACAATACAAAAAAAAAAGCCTAAAAAAATCGAGGCCTAAGGCCGAATATTCATTGCAAGAAGCTAATGGTAGTCGATCACCGAGCCAACCATAATTAAGCCGAGCATTGTAGCCGAAATGACCTTAATATGTCAAAAGGCATAACGAAGATCGCTCGACACGACAACGCTTTGAAAATAGGCCCTTATGTGAGGTGAATAACCGTAAAAGCGATCGATATATCGAGCACACTTTAACAACACCTGCAGTCATAACGCAAAAGCAGAAAAAAATGAAATAATATACTCCCTGAGCAACTGGTTCGAAATTCCATTCTATTGATATATTCCCTATTGATATTCGTTTGATCCTGTTTTTCTATCGACATATGTTACATACATACCTTGAATCATTCCTGAATGTCGCATACATTCGAAAAAACTGAATATACTTTCTTTGTTTAAACAATGGTATGGTGGAGTGTAAAAATACTGTAAAAAAGCAGAACCGAATAAATATAAATAATAAAATTTTGCCGTAAAATTATTTTATGTCATTATAATAAGAAGAAAAACTTGCGGATTATTTAATCACATTAATTGTTCATTAAGTTGTTGATTTTTGCGGTCATGCTAGTGCTACTTATACATAATATTCTTTTCCTTCTTTTTTTTTCCTAGTAACCTAATTTTATGCGCTTTTAATGATTACGATTTTTTTTCATTATTAAAAACTTTATTTAGTTATTAATAATATATATGTGGTTTATTAAGGCAAAAAAGGAGAAGAAAAAACATACCGAACAATTCATTTAAATTATGTTCCCTGTTTATGACGATTATTGGCCGCCGGCGCATATACAAAAATAAACAAATAAAAAGCATATAAATAAATAAAAAGAAACCCACTGAGCGTAGTAATAATTTTACGCAGATAACAGATGGAAGAAACAAAGAGAGAGCGCGCGCACAAGATAAAGAGACAGAGACAAAAGCAATGTACAATGAAATTGGAAGAAAAAAGCAGAGAGAGTCAGTCTATTCAGACTGTGTGACTGTGTGTGTGTGTGTGTGTGTGTGATTGCGCGAAAAAGGGGAAAGAAAACGAATATTCATTTATTCGATATAGCGATCGTTCTATAGATTGTAATTTTCGAAAATATTTTGATTATCCCAAGAATGCACGTCACTATGAATGGATAATATCGGTACATTTTGCACGATTACCCACACATACATGGAAAATTCGAAATCGGCGATTGCATGTTGTTGCAGAGTGAAAACTGGGGCTTTTCTAAGCTTTTCTTTTCCGATAACACTTTAATGAAAAAAACTATGTGTAAAAGATATGCTTATGTTATAAGGCGGGTAAGGTCTATACTTAAATACTCTACCCCACATCTTGTTTCTCTATAAAGGCATTTATTCTTCATCTACTTTTCTTATACAGTGACAAAAGGTGTTTTCGCTTGCGTGGAGTGAAACCTAAAAAATTGACCTCTGCGATCTAAATCTGGTGTAGTTAGTTTCCCTCAAAAATTTTTACTACAAAATATTAAATATTAGACTTTAAGGCCGTATAAAGAATTGCTTGAATTAGTTGAAATGGGTATTGAGGAATGAGTATTTAGAATCAGTTGGCCCATCCGAAATTAATCTTTGGCATACGGTATTCAGTCAATTTTGAAAATTTGCTGATGGTTTTCGTACAGAAATTTTTTCAAAATTAGGCTTTGTGAGGCAATTGCCATAAAAATACTTCTATCTGATCCATTTTTACTAGGCTTCGTCCTTGATTCAAAAGACATTAGTTTAGCAAAAATTCATCAAAATATCTCAAAAATTATGGTATATATGTTGAAAACATAACTGACAAAGGACAGACACCATTAATTCGTATCAGAAAATGATTCCAAATCAATAAAAGTTAAGTTTTGTTTTAAATCCTTCTGTCATTTATACCCAGCGCTACAAGTTGTATTCGCGTATAAATACATTGCTCTGCGAAGAAAAGGTTAAGATGTTCCCAGCCATAAGTGATATATGTTCAAAAAGAAAACGTTCAATCTCACCTCTAACCCATACCCAGATACACACTAGTTACTTACTCTATGCCGAAATGCTTTATGTAGGGTTTCCATTTAACATTAAGCTTGAAATATTGAATATGTAGAATTAGGCGGCAAAGAAAGTACGTATGAAAATCATGTGTAAAAGTTGGCTCAGAGATATAATAATCTATATATATATATATATATATATATATATATATATATATATATATATTCCTGATTAGTAGGCAGTGCCAAGTCAATTTAAGCAAGTCCGTCAGGCAGTCTGTCGTTACCGGCTACGAAATAGGTCTAAAAATAGGAAGGACTCGCACGTGTCAAACGACACGTTCCAGAGAACAACTCAAATTTTTAGAGCAAGAAAAAAAAATTGGGCATTGTGCTCATTACTTATAAAAGCATGACAGCTATAGCAATAAAAAATTTCACGTATAATCAATCTACAAGCATTTGGGCATTGTCCACGCCCAATATTATAGACTATTGATATTTAATTTCTTTAAAAAAAAAAAATGAGATGGGTATAAGGGATTCGGTCTTAGTATAATTTGATTTTCTCACTTATTGATCATGACGACGTTCAGTCGCCACATTAGAAAATTAGACAAGAAAAAGCGTTGGAAGTTTTAAACTGATACGAATACTGCTCTAAATGCATGGATCGATGGTGTGTGGCGTCGCCTGGTTGATGTACTACAAATTCTCGATGGAATTGTAACTAGCTTTGAGGGACAATCTCTTCTTTTGTAGACGGGAAATTTATCCGTATGCCATCAGAAAATTGGGAAACTGTAGTGAATAACGGTGAACAACAATTTTTGAATTTTTTTTTCCTACTGAGAATTCAACTTTACTAAAAAAAAATTCTTTAAAACTTAGTTATAGAGATCCAATATTTTGTGTTTATTCTAAATCAGATAAAAGAAATAGAAGTAGAGAAGAGTGAGAGAAGCGAGAGAGAGAGAGAGAGAGAGAATCGGTAACTTTGACTTTTTGCTCTCTCGTTATTTCATTTGTCACATAAAGTAGGTGAAATTTTTTATAACACATACATGCACGCTGTTGAATTATTTACCGCTAATTGAGTTATGCAAAGTACAAGCGCATTATGTAGCTCTCAAGCAACATTGATGATATATATTCCCTTTACACTTTAGAGTTATATTGAATGTCGATACTATAATTATATATAAATGTTTGTGTATGTGTATGCGTGTGTGCGTGTGTGTTGTGTGTGTGCGTAGTTGTGAGAAAGAGAAAAAGTATACATAGATAGGAAAATAGCTTTCGTTCAAAAGTTATTTTAGATAAGATTTACTAAATATAAGTGAGATAAGTGAGACTGAAATACGCTTACGCTACGCGTCATTATTATGTGTACTACCATTGCAGTTTTTCAACAGCTCTCTCGTTAATTATGATAACAGAGATGAAAAAGAAAAAAAAGCTAAATACGTACGTATTTTAATATATATATATATATAAGAAGAGAACGTAAAAATGTTGCTAAAGTTAAATTACTTTAAATGCGCTTTAATACAAAGGAGATTAACAAACTACACGTCATTTACTGATACGAAAGTAAACGTATATGTGTTTAAAAAACAATTATACGCTAAATTACGTACATTAGTTTGTATTATTATTAACAATTGTAGCCATAAAGTGTAAATATAGTGTGATCGTGTGTACATTAGCAGAAAATAAGCAGGCGTTGAATATTTTTCAATTGTGGTTTGAGGTTATAATTTATACTTTTTTTGTTGTTGTTTTTTTTTTTTTTTTGCTTCTTCAATTGCCAGAAAAACGTGCTTTTTTAAAGAGAGTTTTATTTTTCGTTTTGTTGTTGTTGTTGTCGTTGTAAATACTCTGTAAAAACTGAAAATGAAGAAGTTTTTAATGAAAATACACAAAAAATAATAATAATAAAGTAATCAACAAAATTTTTTTACTTTATTACTTTTATATCTTTTGCAAAGTTTTCTATACATTTTTATAACCTAACCTAAATAGCGTTATTAAAGGGGTTGGTAACGAATTTTCTTTCTTTTTTTTTTGACTTTTTCCTTTTTTGTAATTATGGGAATGAAAAGAAATTTAATTTAGTAGGCGTTACGAACACTTTGCGGAAGGATTTAAACGAATTAAACGCCTTACCTTGTACTCGATAATTAAAGCTCATAAGCACACATGAATCCTAAAAGTTGATATATAATATATGTCATTTGTTTATCGCGATTGATTTATTAATTATTATTAATGATTATTATGTACAAAAAAAGACAAAAAAAGACCAAAAACCCCCAAAAAAAAACTTGTAAAAACCTTTACTTTCTCTTCCAAGGCCAGATAAATGCAATCACTGCTGGTATTGTATCGGTCTGTGTCTAACATAAGAGAAGTTTGGGCTTATTTAATGGTTCAGGTTTTTATTCACATGAAGCTCGAGATATTTCTGATAGATCCTAGACGGTTTTGCATCTTGGCCATCTTGACCTAACCTGATTACATATCGTCTCTAGAGTTTCATAAAATCCAAGCTTTATATAGACTGGCTTTTTTTTAATAAGAAGAAGTCGCTTAAAGTCTAAGCAAGTTAATCAGTTGTTGTTGGTAGTGATTCTTATGATTATCAATTGTTTATTTCTTTCATTTATTTTGTTTTTTGCCTTTTATAACAAGTAATATATACATACGTTTTACTTAGTTCCATTTTTGTTGTTTTTCTTTTCCATTTAACACATCTCTTTGTTTTTTTTAATAGTAGTATTGGTTGCTACTACTGTTTTTGCCGTTGTTGTTGTTGTTATTATTATTATTATTATTATTATTATCGGTTGGTGGCATTTGTCGTAATTGTGGTAGTTGGTATTATTGTTATTGTTCTTTCTTTCTTTTTCTTATAGAAGAAACTTAGAGAATGCTTGCTTTATATTGAAATTTAATTACGCTTTTTTTTTTTTAAACAAAGTCACCACCACCTGGTTTTTTCTTCCGATTTTTCTTTCGTTTTAAATCTCTGTTATTGCGATAATTTTTTATTCACGTTTCTATGTAAAGGATTTTGTTTTTTTTTTTGCTTTTCGTTTCAAAAAACTAGAATTGTTCACTTTTTTTTATGATATTCTTTTATATTTTATTGAAATGATTCTTCTTAAAAGCTTACTGGTGTCATCACTATTTGGTTCCTACTTAAAAATTGATTTAAAATCAAAAAAAAAATATATATATATATATTCTTTGTATACATATCTTAAATGGACACAATTATATGTGAAACTGTATGTTAGAGAGTTATGCGCTTTCATTTACCGACTAAATATAAATAGCGTTGTTTTTGCCACAACGACGCCTATTGTAATGATATCTTGCTTTGTATTTGGAAAATTTCAATTCAATCACACACATAGCACACTATTTTTCATGTCCTCCAATCAACAATGCACACAACCAACCAGCATTTCTCAGTTCGATGCTGATGAGTTTGTTGTCTTTATAGCTGTAGTTGTTGATGTGTGTTCAAGGTATTCATTCCCACACACATACTCATTTTTATCGTAAACTAAACTCTCTGATATATAATAGAAAGGAGATTAAAAACAAAAAAAAAAAA